TCCAAGGATGAGTGGCTCTCCCGGATTCCTGTCCGTCAGTCTCCCTTATGGTCGGCTCCCTGTTAACTCATACTCTCCGTTCTGTAGAATCTCTTCATTCCCTGTCTGGGAAGGTGGGCGCAGCAATTGACAATGACTGGTCTGTGACTAGGCAAGCAAGAAAGAAGAGGACAAGAGGACATCGATCTATCTTGTGGTTTTAAATAAATTAATAAGTCATCAGCTAGTCATCATGCTTCTGTACCGGTTGTCATTCGCCGAGAGAAACAGGTGAGAGAACCAGGGGGTCAATCGACGAGATGGGTGGGCACTGGGCACTCATACGGTAGCGTAGCTGAAGCTCTCCAGGAGCACCACGTACATAGCTGAAGCTGCTTTGGCGGCAGCTTTTGCGGCTTTTCGGCTCTAGCTAGCTCTTGTGGTGGAAAAGGAGAATGAGCAGGGCACCTTCCTCCCCCAATTCCCATCCCCAAGATCTAGCCCGTTGGTCAATGGAGGCAGACCTAGCTACTTGAGGAAGAAGTACGGTAGAGGAAGAAGATACTTCGACATCTTGTGGAAATTGGTATTTAAATATTCGACTGGTACCTACAATCAAGCTATCGTCATTAACGAGTTAAAGAGAGACCACCTCAGAGAAGCCGTGCAAAGCACTCAAGAACTCATGTGCTTCGGCGGCGTGAAAAAGAGAATGAGGAGAGCAGGGCCCAAACCATGCTATGGTCATGGGCGAGTCCGAGAGCTACATGTACATGTACCGGCACATGAAGCTGGCTGCATGTAGTTTGTACGGAGTAGTTGACTGCCGAAAAGCGAAGCCATCCCAAGAAAAAGAATGAGGCCAGTCTAGCTAGATCCGCAAGGCCCAGGAAAACAACAAGTAAGTGCACATGTGCCCAAAAGGCAATGGAAAAGGCTTTGCTTCTGTGCCGGTAGAGCCTGCCGCTAGCCGGTGCCGGTAGGTCCACCTCAATCTTGAGAGCTCCCGTCAGTTAGATGGTCTCCAAGCAAAGGCAAGAGAACAAGCAAGAGCAGCAAAAAAAGCAAAAAAGCAAAAACTTGATTTTCTGAACGAAGAAGCTTGGCGGTTTGCGGTACAATTTAAATATCCACAGAGGACACAAGGTCAACAGGAAGCCCTCTCGAACAGCCAAACCGAATTGATCTACGGAATAGGAGTGCCGCCAGCGAAGGCCACAATGCCTCAACATTCAACATTTTCATGTCCCAGGTCCCAGTCAGAGCTACTCCCAAAAGTGGTGGGAACAAGAGCCTTCCTTAGTTAAAGTGAATGCTCGTGGACATGAAATGCAATAGAGCTCTTTCTTGCACCTTGCACCTGGATATCGTGGCCTTGCTCTACATTGCACCCTCGAAGCTTTGGCTTCACAGCAATCTTGCGTGTAGCCTACTGTCTTCCAGCAGCTACTAGTACCGTACTTGTACGAGCTAGCTAGCCACAGAGTAGAGGAGACCTCGAAGCGTGGAAGCAAGCTGGCTTCTTGACGACTATGTGGTACCACGGAAAGGCATTCTTGGTACATGGCTGGCCAATGCAACTGCAAATGCTGCAAATTCAAAGAAGCGATGGAATGGCTGCAGGGGAGTCAAGTTCCACGATTGCTTGCTTGGATTCCGGCAAGGAGAATTTGCTGGGGCCCTGCCTCAACAGTAGTTCAAGAATTGCTGGCCGACAGGATCGTGGAGTGGTGGTCTAGACTCACTCGAATCGGTGTCTCTGCAAAGGAAAAGGTGTTGACATCATTTCGGCAGCTACAAGAAGTAAAGTGTTACTTGAACTAGCTAGCAAACTGGCTGTGCGTATACCGTAGACGCACTTCCCGAGACCAGCAATCAGCCTCACCGAGAGCGATGCCAACAAATGAGCAACTTTGAGAAGCTTACCTCTCAAACTAGCTAGTGAGTCGATCGCTCCAGTGCCATCTAACGTGTCAATATGAAGACAACAAGCCCAGCGACCTCCGGAGGAAGAAGCCATGCTAAAAGTCTCAAAGGCCGGCTGTACTCTGGCAGACCCCATTCTGTTGGCGGCAAAACCAACCATGTCCGCACCGATTTCACAATGCGTGAAAGGTAAGTCGTGGGCATGGATTTTGGTCGCGTCATTAAAGGTTGGGGTTGATAGTCCGTGAGTGTCAGGATCTGGGGGAGGCAACAAACACAAAAGCACGGGTTGGGAAGTAACTTGCTCCTTACAGATTCACCGTCTCTTAGGAGCAGCGAGTGTATGGCCAAAATCCATCTTAGCTTCTTGCAAGATGCACTGCCTGATTGCCTACCGGTAGTCTAGGTTGCCGCCATCAACCGATGGCTGGTCCAGTGAAAGCAGCTAGAGCGAGAATGGTGACAATCGACCAAAGAAGTGCTGAAAACAAGGACAATGTCAGGAGATGATCATTTAGCTGGATCATGCAAGGCAATTGCTTGTATGCGTGGACGAGGAGATTCCTCAACCCTGTTACTCAGCTGCAGCCATACCAATATCTGCTATAATAGCAGTAGGAACGCTATGGCCTAGAGCCAAGCAATCCACTCCAGTGATGGAAACAAACTAGTACCGTAATAATTCATTAGCTTCATTACTACTACCGTAATAATTCCTTACCTCCTCGGTGAATCGTCACTCGGAAGGTAAAAGAATCAGTCCTGGAAACATTTGGTTGTGGGGGCTTAGTAGGTGGGAGCAAGAAGAAGGTGCACCGATGCACCGATTGTCAATATTTCCACATCCTCTACTAGTCTAACGATTCTATGCCTGGTGGGCTTCGCGTTGATCGTTGTTCCTCGTTGTATCACCAGAAGTGACAGGTCCCGGTACCCGCAACCACTTGGAGGTCCACAGACCCGCCCACATGGAAAACCTGATGGTACAGCGAACCTTCTTGCTTGCTTGGTTTGCATGCAGGGCAGAGCTGCTCTAGCTAGCCACCTGGCTGCTAGTTAGCCAGCCAAAGGTGATCCACTTGATCTTCTCTTGCCGTTGGGAAAAGAAGCAACACTTGCATAACAAGGCCACCACAACACGACCAACATTGCAGTTCATCCACCTGTTTTCAGATCAGTTGTAGGAAGCCCATGATCTGGTGTCCGCTTCAAGTCATCGGTACTTACTTTCTTGAGACCGGTACTGCAACTAGCAGACACTTTTGATGATTGCTGAAGCAAGCGAAACATTGATGATTTGATGCAGGTTGCAGCCATTGCTCACGCAATGATGATGTTCTTGTTGACAAAGATAACGCAGCTCGCAGCCAGCTTCAAGACTTAGATTTTGACAGAAGAAGGAATTTACGTTCTGGTTCGCTGTAGATTCTGGACACTGACTAAGCCGCCGAAGGCATTCCGTGTACATGCTGTTAAGCATTCGGTCGCCTTGGCGACACCTCTTTGTAAGAGCGAACGCCTATCGTTCGCAGTACTCTACATGTAGATACAGTAGCCGTCCAGAGGTGAGCAGCTCTAGTTACAGTAGCTTGTTAGCACTGCTCTTTGCAGCTCTATGCATACTCTCCGACATCCTTCGGGGGCAACATGCGTTTTAACGATTGGCTTCACTGGAGGAGAAGGCCTTAGACTTTTACCGCGAGAACCTCTTGAGAACACTCTGACAGAAACTCCAGTGGTGAAATAAATTATATTACTTTCGCCACTGATGGGATCAGGATTCTTTCACCCAGCCAGCTTGCTAGCATCTACCCAATCCTGTTGCAGTATCTATCTGGCTGGTAATGCCAGTCTGGTAAAGCGACCTCGGGGAATCTCCTGGGAAATCGAATGAGAGATTGGACCCATGGATGTAAAAGGGCTCACACTTTCAGATTGTAAAAAGCAAAAACAGAGCGAACAAACTCACAAAACCAACCTGATCCGCCCAGAAACAGACCACGCCAAACAGACCATGTTCTTCCGCAAGACCAAGTCGCTCAACTCGTCTGCCCTAGAAAGCTTGCCCAAGGATTTGTATGCTTCCAAGAATACGCATGGTGATGATGACGAAGAAGTGAAGAGATCTTCTATTGATAGCCTTGTCCTCCGTCGTCTACAAGGCGATGCCATGGCCAAGTGGAACAACAGCCCTCAACAACAGGATGATGATGACATGGACGACGCAAGCTGCCACTCGACTTCCAGCACTGGTAGCCCCCGTCGCAGACGCCGCAATGTTTCGGATGCTCGAAGAAACAGAGGAGGACAGCGATCATCCTCGGTCAGGAGCAGAAGAACTACCGGTGGCAATGGGTCCTCCCGAGGCACCCGCACTTCAGGTATTAATAGTGGATCCTCCCGCGCCAACCGAACGACCGGTGGCAACACTGGCGCTGGAACACCCAGCAGTCGCCCCCGACGCATGCGCCGCGTCAAGTCGGATGATGGAGCCGAAAACGTATACCACCGCGACCACGAGAGACGCCAACGTCGCACCAACCTTCTCGACCAACACCCATTGCCACAAGATGAAGAACCTCGTTCCTTGTCTCCTCGTCCCGTAGCGACCCGAAAGGCAGTGTCCTCCTCGCCACGAACTAAGAGTGCCAACAGCCGAGAAAGGTCCATGTCCAGCAGCTCGCCCCCAGCACGTCGCAACAGGGTCATGTCTCATGCTGCATAAGGTGGAGAAACTGCCTATAGAGAAGTAAGCACGTATCTTCAGAACTCTAAAGACAACAGAGATGGCAAGGCAAGCAAGACGAGGCCAGGCAAGACAAGACAAGCAACACTGCAGTCAGACCAGACAAGTGCAGAGAGATCCAACTCAGCCTCAGCGTCCAGTGCGCTTATCTTGCATGAATGTCCAGCGGCCGCCCAATAGATAGTTGCACTAGCGAAGTGATAAACAGAAGTAGCTAGTTTTGTTCCATTGAAACTTGAAGCATCCTGTGCATCTTTACTATAGTCTCTCTCTCTCTAGCTAGCTGGCTTGAACGGGTCCACACGGAAAAAGCTCCTAGCAGCAGAACATCAAAGTGACTTTCCACGCTATATCATCTGCACACAATCTTTGTGTCAGCCGCTACAGTTTCCTATCGGTTCTTAGCTAGCTGAATCATACAGTCATGCTGAATACTATGAACTTTTGTTATTACTGATCTGGTCTTGCTTTTTGCAGGTACCGGTATGTACTCCAAGAAAGTAAGTTGCCTGTAAGTGCAGCAATGGCAAGAGTATGAAAATAGATGGATAGATTGAAAGACGACACAAGCAACAATGATTCCCACAAGAAGATATTGGTTCCTGTTTCCATGCTTCGCGCTTTGAACAACCATGAAGGCTGCCCCACTAGCTAGCCAAACAAAACGTCGCTCCCCACGCACTGTGATGACAACAACAACCTACTACTTTCCACCTGGACGCTTTGCCTTTTCCTCCTCCACCCTCTGTTCTTGCATCAATTCATCTTCAAACCAAATGCCCTTTTGCTCATTCTCTTCGTCGTAGCTCTCTTCCTCGTCAAGAGTTTCTTCCTCTTCAACTGTCGCTTCTTCTTTGGCTTCATCTCCAGATGATGCGCTTGGGCTCTCTTTGGCTTCTTCTTCGGTTGTTTTCTCGTTTTGTTGCTCCACAGGTGGCTCATGTTGTGGGTCTAACATGCTCATCTCCTGAAGTTCTTCTTGGGATTCTACATTATTTGTAGAGATCTTTGGTGGTTGTGGAGAAGGTTCCACCTTTGGCTCCAACGCCGCGGTCTTTTCCTGTTCCGGGGCAGCGTTGTGTTTCTTTGGCTGTTTGTTGATAGGATGGTTGTCCTCCACCAACTGGTCTCCCTTCTTTGCATGTGCAGGGGCACCGTGCTGTTTTGGTTGTTTGATATTAGTAGGATTGTTGTTGTCCTCCACTACCCAAGAATCTCCGTTCTTCACATCACTGTTGGTTGCGGCGGCATCATCCTCCGTGGTCGCATTCTGGTTCTGGTTCATGGTGAGGAAGTGTTCTTCTTCGTATTCTTCGTACTCTTCCTGTGACATGCGCATGAGAACGAGCAGTAGCACCAATCCAATAATCTTGAGCCAAAACCACGCCATATCCCAGGAAGGACGATGATGACGATGACGGCGACGGTAGTGTCGTTTGTTCTTGCGACGCACAAAGGCTTCGAGACGACTGGGAGACGATCTCGTCTTATTGTTGTTGTTGTTCTTTTTTTTGTTGTACAAGGATTCCAAGTCCACTTCGGTATCTTCCATTTCCAACACGGGCTGTTCTTCCTTGTTGTCAATATTAGCCGTGTAGATACTACGGGTATCATCTTTGCTACTAATAATACCCGGTGGGGTATTGTCACTGCAAAGACTGGCGCATTCTTCATCCCGCTCACTACTCCACGAGCCATCCAGGTTGGGGTCTGTACTGAACTTCATCCTCTTGCTGCTTGCTTGCTTGCTTGCACACCACCACAATCGATCGAGATAAGACCAACTATCTAGCTAGATAGACAGACGATCGAGCTGCAACAGATATGATTGCTTGCTGTTGGAAATGCACAATGACAAGGGCTCAGTGCGATGCGCTGGGCTCAGACTTACAGCCTTTCAGTTGCTTCTAAAGTTGTATAGTGAAGTATATTACATGTATTTGTTTACCAGGTGCTCAAGTTCTTGAAACGTTTCTGGCAGCAAGTTACATCTTTGGTATCTTTGACGGGTCATTCATTCATTCCTCTTTCATGTACTCTGGCTAGCGGAATGGCTGCTGTCAGTTAGACCACCAGATGAGGGAATGATTCGATTCCATTCCTTGCTAGATACTTTTGTCTTCTACTATCTATAGCAGTGCAGACTTTGGTACCAGTACTGTACTGTAATGTACAGCAGAGATGCCTCAAGTCGTCCCGTTCCAACTTCCAAGGTGGTTGCCGCCTGCATCTGGTGAAATCTCATTCGTGCGTTATTAGGGTTAGAGCTAACGTTGGTAGCGTCAGTGGGAGTGCGCGGTCGTAAATGTGAACGAAACCGCAGCATCGCACAGCCTTGTGGACAGCACGAAGCATTCTGTTAATGTTGGGTGCCCAAGGTGCTTTAGCTACAACTACATGTAGCAAGGGGTTTCCTGTCTGGTCTTAGGTTCTTTCTACCATATTGGTCCTTGTTGTTGGGCCTTGCTGGCTTGTCGAGCTCGAATCCCCTTTGAACTTTTAACATGACCCGAGAGAATGATTCGATTCGATTGAGGTTCGATTGTCTCCAGTGACGTCGCAATCCGCGTCAACAGATCTCAAGCTACTTGTACTACTAGTCTAGTAGCTAGCACAGTACTGTACCTATCATAGATAGCCAACATTCCAGCACAAAATCTGCATCCAACCAGTCTGGACTGGACCAACCCTATCTATGAGTGCTGTCAAGAGCCCGCAGCCTAACTAGCTAGCTAGGCAGCCGGTGAGTTGCTTCCTCGCAAGGACTCAACTGGCTTTCTAGTACAGGCACAAACCCCTTCAACCAATTCGTGCAGTGCCCTGACGAGCGAACAGCTCGTAAGGGGTATTTGCACTTCTGGTCGGAACCCGAGTTGTTACTGTACTAAACTCCCTTTTTATAGCTCTTTTATGCAAGTGGGTTGTGCCGATGTTGTCAAAGATGATCGGCGGTTGACCGCTGTGGGCACCATTCCTGATGACCACCGACAGTTGACCACAACCACGGGCGTGGCTGGCTTGAACGGTTGGCAATGCGCTCCTCATAGCATCAACATTGAATGCCTCCCGGGGTATGTCATGAAAGGAGTATGCACCAGTGGAAGGACTGCTGACTGCATGGACTTCTGTGACCCAGACGCCTGGACCGGGATCCCGTGCGAACCAGCCCCCGCCACTGCATTGGTAGGCACGGGCACCTGGAGTGCGCCCTTTGGCTTTGGTGGCTTCTCTAGTAATGAATTCTATGAATGTGGAGAAAATGAATATGCTTGTCAGGCGAAGCTCCCGACTGCGATGGTGGTTATGCCCGCTTCAAGTGCTGCCCAGTTGCATCCGAGCCCATTGACATTGTGGGACGGTGGACATACATGCGCACCATAGCTAGTTGGCGAGCAGAGCATGACACTGGAGCGTGGCACCGCGAAGACAAAGGCGGAGACGAAAACCGATGTATGGTCCACGGCTATCGCGACGAGTGTCGAAGGTGGAATTGCAGTGGAAGGGTTTGGCGGCGTAAAAGCCTCCATTGCAAAAGAGCAATCAGAGAGTTTTAGTTTTGCCAGGTTATATGCAACTGAGTTTTCTTCCGAGACACTGGAGCGATTTTCAATCACCTTCAGTGCGGAGTGTGAAGGGAAGGCGCTCTGGCAATGGACGTTCGGCACAGTTGATCCTTATGCCAACCAATTGACCACCTTCACTTCGGACTACGCCATCACCGAAACAAGGGGCGATCCCCCTCGTTGTCAGCCAGGCTTTTCTCAGGGCACGACGGTCGACTACCAGAAATGTTCCTCCGATGATCGCTTGTTGCCTGGGTTTGAAACTGGCGGTTACGGAACTAGCGCCGCTAGCATTACTGGCGGTGACGGAACCAGCGGAGCCAGCAGTAGTGTTGCATCGCTCGCCGCTTTCATGTTCACTTCTGCTGCTGCAGCTGTCCAAAGCCTTCACTAATTCAGCAGATGCTGGTAAGACCAATCTTTTCAGAGACCAAACTGATCAAGTGAACCATTCGTGTCGAATTCCTGCCGATCAATACCTACCGTCAGTGACAGTATCGCCCAGTTTCATCGCAACGCTTCTCGCCGATCCGTGAGAATGCCAATGCAACCTTTACAGTACGAGTATTTGTTTAGCTTTATTCGTACCCCTGGTATCCATTAGGGAAGCCCGGTAAGGAATGTGTGAAAACCAGAAGACTGTTTCGATGAAGCCTCGACTTCATGGCAGCAAAACCTTGGCAATGCCAAGACAAACAAGTCAATATTATATAATCAGCTTCAGATGTCACCATTCGTTGTAACGGATTCTAGAGCCGGTGAGTCGAGTCCACAGAAATATTCAAGCCGAAGCTAGCTATCTAAAAGACACGGTGCCGGTACCTGGTACCACCATACCATACCGTAGAGATGTCAGTGTTCTCTTTTCAATGGTTTGAGAACCGCATTTGGGGTGTGTCAGTCATGGATATTCTCGCCGGCACGAGGCAACAGAACTGTGGCTTGATGGGTTGACTCTGTCAATCCCAGTAAATTATATTTAGAATACTCACTTTTTGCTGCAATTGATAAAAATAAAGACGAGGAGGCTCGCAAGCAATGAAGGATGAACCCCAGATGCCTTTTCTGCTCCCTTCTTGACTCTTTTGCGAAGCAAATCCTTCACAACAATGTCGTCTGCAGATGCAGGGGCTGACACTCGTCCTGTATGCTTTTCCATTCATTCAATGAAACTTAAACGCTCACCATGAGGACCAGTAACACGCGTTTGCGCGAAGGCAGAGATGCTCCCATCGCCATTGATTTGGACTCCGAAGATGATGATGATGATATCGAACCTCAGTTCGGTTCGATGGTGGTGGTTCCCATACTGGGCAGTGCTGTTGTTCCAGATCCGCCACTGGTGGATCACGACGAAACAACTTCGGTTCTGCAAATTCCATCACAGCCAACAAGAGGAGCATTTTGGGGCGAAACCATGATTCATCTCAAGA